ATTAGTGAGATCATTGGGCAACTGGGAGATGGCTGGTGCCGGCCCCTAAAGGACCCCTGGCCAGCAGAGGAAAGTGGGGCTGGGCGCGGGAGCAGAGCCACAAGCATGGAGGGACAAAGGCCTGGGTCCCTGGGCCCAGCCCCATGCCCAGCGGTGCCCTGGCAGCTCACACCTAATCTCATGCTTCCTAAGCCCTGCTCCCTTTGGCGTACACATGGACACACTTCCCAGCCTGCCAGCTCCTTCCAAAGGACCCCTGGCCAGCAGAGGAAAGTGGGGCTGGGCGCGGGAGCAGAGCCACAAGCATGGAGGGACAAAGGCCTGGGTCCCTGGGCCCAGCCCCATGCCCAGCGGTGCCCTGGCAGCTCACACCTAATCTCATGCTTCCTAAGCCCTGCTCCCTTTGGCGTACACATGGACACACTTCCCAGCCTGCCAGCTCCTTCCAGCCCTGTGTAGTCCCTGTGCGTCTGTCTCCACGCCTGAGTCTGCTGCTCCCCACCCATTCACCGTGGCTCTGAGGGGCGAGTGACTCACCTCCACCCCCACGTCACCCTCTCTGATCCCGCTTCCGGCCCCCGCATCCACCCCCTTCTGCTGCTGCTTCCGGGGCATGACTCATCCAAAGCCTCTTGCATCCCCCGCTCTCCCGGCTGCTGAATATTTGATCAGCTGTACGGTTGGGGGTGTGGCCACATGGCAAGGAGGAATGAGTCTCTCTCCAGAGGAGACAGGACTTGTAAGTGGAGAGCAGCGCTTGTGTGCAGCTGGGAAGCCGCCGGTATCTCGGCAGTGCCAACAGCGCATTGTCGAATCACTCAGCCTTGCCCAGCCATTGGCTGGGGACTGTGGCCTTGTTTGGCCTCCTGTGGCGGGATCACCATTACCCCCGTACAGCTGTGGCATGGGGGGAGGTGGGGCAGTACCCAGTTCCTCTTCATTGTATGTTCTGGCCTCAGGGCCCGGCACGAGGGAAGAGACCGGCGTTCCCTGTAAGCTGAGCACTTGGGCGACCATCCAGAAGAGATTCACATGCCGCCCAGCTGATTAGCATGGCGCACACAGCCAGCAGCACGTGTTTCTACTGGTGGTGCACATCCACACATGCCTCAGTGTACATAACAAAAGTTATTCTGTACATGGATGGAAAAATTGAAAGGAACATGGGTAGGGACAGAGCTGGGAACAACCCCCCAGCC